TCAGCGTTGCTCGTCTGGTTACCGCACCAGACTCGTGCAATGTGACGTCGACAGCGGTGTTCGAACACCTACAATCTATTTTTATGCTGTTCCCATATTGGCCATGTCTCTGCATCGTATAGCAGAACTGGCAGAACTGCTGCAGCACATACTGGAATCTTCACCGATAGCCGAATATCGCAACGGCGCCACAGATGTCTCAAGTTGGAGAATACCTACCGAGCCTTCCGTATGGGTGCCGACACTTAATCCGTGACGCGTCCGCCAGTTAAGATATGGCTGCCCAGATGGCAGAATTTATTTACTTTCTCTGTCACTTCCCCAGTGTGAGTGAGGTTGAGGGCGGAACAACCCAATCTTGTAGGAACATTTTACACTTAGAAGGTGCAAAACGCACACCGCACGTGGCTACACTAGCACGCAAACTATCCAGAAAAGCTTTCAACTTACCTGGATCTTCATTTAGTAGCACAGTGTCGTCTGCATACTCAAGATCAAACTGTTTGCCACCTTGAAGTAAATCGATACCACTATCCTCGCAGAAGGATATGGCTGTTTCAACAAATAAATCTGTGACAAAGTTACATTGAAACGGAAACAGGAAGCCTGAAAATCACAACATTCGATAGTGAACTCGTGTGAAAAAGTGCTGTAAGCTCGGACTCGGTTTCGGTTATGAGTACAAAGGGATTGTAATATTGAAATAAACATCTCGGACACATACTTCAGAGTGAGGCGGTGCCAGAGTTTAGAGCGATCAACTGAGTCGAAAGCCGCTTTCAGATTGAGGAAGATAGAAATGGCGGGTCAACGAAAGGAGTGTCTGTGTTCTATAAATTGATGAAGAGTGAAGATGTGCTCGAAACAACCTCGGCTAAGTCTGAAACCAGTCTGTTTCGCACGTGTGCACTCTTCACAAGCGGCAGACAATCGACGGGGTATAATATCTGCGGGGAGCTTAGATACGATGTTGAGCAAACTAATTCCCCAGTGGCTTTCACAAGAGAATTTGTCGCCTTTCTTGTAAATCGGTGTGATAACCGATTCACACGATTCAGTTGGAACCTCTTCCCCCCTCCCACTGAGCGCAGGAGTTTCGTTAACTCCAAAACCAGGGCTAAACTCCCATCTTTAAAAACCGATGAGGACAGCCCGTCGGGGCCGGAAGCCTTATACCTTCTGAGATAGTTTACTTCCTGGGTAACCTCCATTTCAGGTGGAGCACTGATGTCTACTTGTAGCGGTAAATACTGTCAGACGACTCCATTTTCATTAGTAATGGAATAAGTCGCTCTTGGAGACGGTGGCAGTTTTCTCTATTTCACATGTGATTTCTCCAAACATGTATCGAATGATTAGTGATAGAGGAAATGGTCGCTTTGTTACANTATCGGAGAAGTTAGAAATCCAGGAGTAACGGAATGAAACAAGTCCTGCTATGCATTGCTGTTAATTTAAGTAGTCGGGTGTCGCTAGATTCCTTGATGGCTAGAGTCGGTCAAATGGTTCTATACGACCCTTCGAAGCCAGATGTCCAGTATCATTTTTGATCGAACCATGCTTTTGTTTTATTGAATGCTAAATTATACTTTTCCATCTCCTTGTACAACTTCCTTTATCCTATATCACATTGTCATTGTTACTCTGCATAGGGTAATGTTAGCTGCATGATCAAATGCATCGTCCAAGTCATCATCCAACGCTAGTTTGTCGATCACTCTTTAGAAACATGCCAATCCATTGGCCACCTCCAGAATTGATAAAGACTATTGCTACCCTCATATCTGAAGCATTCCCTTCCATTAATTGACATTTGATGATAACCGCTCTTAAGACACAGACAGTGAACAACGAATAATCTTGTTAACGGTACTGGTAATCCTCAGCCAGGGATGTGCGTCTAGGTGAGCGATTGACAGTCCAGCTATAGTCCTCGCTCATTTGGAGATTTTTACTCTCTTTAGTCGTAACCGGGACTTCACTGTGCTATGGAGATACGGATGGTCTGATGATACCATCCTTCATCAATTTTACGAACTTTTGTCTGCAAGTAAATGCTTTATCGTTTTAGTGGTGAAAGGTTTAAGGGAAATGATACCGTTTATTTCCAAACGGGGATGGCGTTTCTACATCCACGGTCAACAATCTAAACGGATAGCGTTGAACAGTAGTAGAAAATGGGATCTCAATAGATTGATGAAGTTTAAAAATCGTATCCCAGCATTACATCACAGGATAGATTCGTGAGTACCTGTGGCTTGATCTTTAGATAAACGCGCACTTCGTCGTAACCAGACAATGGCCATTGGTGAAGCTGGTCATATGTGTATGAGGCATAGCGATTTTTCCAAATGACTATCTCACGACAGTTAAATCGTTGAGCGGCTGATAAGCCATCGAAGCTTCTTGTGGCGACTTATGCATATGACGAAGTGCTGTTTATGAGGACATAAGCAACTATATATAAGAGGCTGTTCGACACATCTGCAATTTTTATTAAGGTTATGAAAATTTTGAGAAATAACAGGTTTCCTGCCTTGTATTTTGCAACGCTTATAGATAGTATGCATTTATTTTTCACTCGCGTCTGAGGCCAAACTGTGTCAAACAATAATTACAATAATTTTTATAAAAAGGAAAACGCTGCGCGATTCGCATTTGTGCGGAATACTGCCAGGTCGGCCAAACCAAGGCGGGTGAATTTTGTTGGGAAATGCAAAACCGTAGCCTTCGGCTAACCGAAACCTAAACTGCAAGATAGCGGGCGGTGTGTAGAAACCACAATCTATTCGGGGCAAGTGTCCAGTTCATGGGATCATACGCCCTTTGAACGGGGTCAAATGTTTAAGGTGAACAATACACTTCGATGCCCGATTGAGACGGTGATAACTGACACAACCAAGGTGTGGTTGAGTGTGGCTCGTNTACGCCTCTGCTTCGTTGGTTAGAAATTAAGGTTTTCAACCAACTCCCCAAGATGAACTATCATTGGTTCATCAACCCGGTTATAGCCCCATATATTGGCTTTTAGCCCTTTCACTTTGGTGGGAGAACACGGTCGCCACGAGAAGGCAGGGAGTAGGCCTTACTTGGCAGAAGCTATTCGAGACGCTTGGTCGTAAGGGAACATTTCGCGAGGTGAAAAGCAAGGGTGACCAGCGACAATCCGAAACACCCGCCCCAACCAAAATGAGGCTTTCAGAAGCCTTATAACTAGATATCTTCGCAAACGGGATATATACGGTCGGGGATGGATGTTTCGGGTTGCGGCTGGTCATCTATCTCTTGCACCTCACGAAATGCTCCTATACGAACGAGCTTCTCAAGTAGCTTCTGCCAAGGAACTGTTCTGCTTTTGCGTAGCGGAGGTGTTTTCTCACCAAAGTGAGAGGACGAAAAGCCAATATCCGGGGTTATGACCAGGTCGATGAACTACTGGCAGTTCATCTTAGTGAGCTGATTCTACACCAACCAAGCAGGGGNATGCACATCTTTCTGGTCGTGGTAGTGATCACCGTCTCGATTGGGCGTCGAGGTGTATTGCTCACCTTAAACATTTGACCCCGTTCAAAGGGCGTATGATCCCATGAACTGGACACTTGCCCCGAATGGATTGCGGTTTCCACACCCCCCTCTATCTTGCGGTTCAGGTTTCGGTTAGCCGAAGGCTACGGTTTTGCATTTCCCAACAAAATTCACCTGCCTTGGTCTTGACGACCCGGCAGTATCGAGCCGTCGAGTAAATCATAAACGTTTTTTGTATTATAAAGATGATTGCACCGTGATTTGTTTGGCACATAGTCTGGCTTCAGACGTGTGAATATATATATATATATATAACAATAAGTAGTATATAAATGATTGGACAGAAGTTCCCTGAAAGCACTCGACCAGTGTCGACACCCGAACGCTTCTCTATGAATTTGATCTCTTGTTCTGAGTAGCACAGTACAATGGAAACAGATTCAATTACAAACATTCAAGCTTGAATATGTACGCTCTCGTTTACTTACTGCCTACCTATCGGGGCCTTGTGTGTTTCGTCACTCTAAGTCCTGGGGCTTAGGTTACCGGTTACCATCACTGAACAACAGGTATTCGTGACTATGGGGCTTCCCCCGTCTGCCGTTCATCACACGAACGTGTGTAATAAAAAAACCTACCTGACTGCACGAAAATCTGCGAAAATGCTAGAAATATCAAATGTTCACGGATGCGAAGAAATGCTACCTTCCGTTTTTTAATCACATTCCGTTTGATGAACAGCAAACGAAGAAAGCTTCGTAGTTACGAAAACCTGCTGTTCAGTGATGGAGACCGGCAACCTATGCCGCGGTACTTGGAGTGGCGAACCACATAAGGCCCCGATAGGTTGAGTGTGGTTTTGAACTGGACGACAGCACAGCTGCCTACCACCAGAGTTTGGTGGTGGTGGCGAGGCTCAAATCTCGGACCATAGGGTCCAAAGCACGCCTATAACGGCGACTAAATCAGTGCGCCACCACCACTCTCGTCAAAGAAGAAAGATCATTCTTGGGATACTGACCGAGGCTTTTGACTAGATTTGGGGTACGCTGATGACATCGTATGCCTGTTCGAATCTAT